CAAGTCACATGATTGTTTTTCACTAACAGAGTTATTCACTAATAATCTTTCACTCCAGTGAGCTGTTAACGGCTGCGACCAGTTCAGTTGAACTCAAGAACCAAATCAGTTTGAGTTATGAACGAATAATTCTGATTGGTTTTGTGAACTGTATCAAACGAATGAAACATTGCTACTTTTCTCAGGAAAGTGAGAAGATATAGTTTCTCCATTTGCTTGATATAGCACTAGTCACTTTTATGATTATATTGCATCATTTTCAAGGCTTTACATCTTTGGTCACCATTCATTGTCATTAAATGGAAAACAGCAACCAAGATATTCTTCAAAATTTCTCCTTTTGTGTGCCACAGAAGAAAGTAAGTCAAACAAGTTTGCAGCATTTAAATAATGACAGAACGTATTCTTGAATACAATCGTAAAAATGTCATTTTAAGAACAACTAATGGTGGCTGAACATTATAGGGTTAAAATGGATAGATGAAAAAAAAGATCTAATTTTAATCCACTATCATGTGGAGAGATCAGCTGGGCGCGCTATATGACGTCTCATCTCTGGAAAGAGAACTGAAAAGCCGGAGGAAAATGCAACAGCAGCCTCCGTGCAGCCACAGACAGAAAACAAATAAAAGATCCAATTTTAATCCTTATCTCGACTGGGATCGGATCGCTGTTTATCTGAACTCATATCGTCTTTTTCAGAGAACAGTGACGTTTCAGGAAGCCAGGGTTACACTTCGGTTGGAGCAGACGAAAGCACTTTTACAAATTAAAAAGTCAAAAAAACGCGTTTATTACACACAATTATCGCCGCTGGGTTTGAAAAATCAAGCGCGAGTTTGTTCAGCGGCGTTGACAGGTGCCGCGCTCTTTTCCTAAATGAGTTGCGCGTCCTAAAAGCCGTTGGTTACTATGGCGGCAGTTGTAAATAAATGTAGCCATTTCTAATTTTCTGATGTGTTAAAACCATTAAAACACAAGGATTGTTTCAACATTCTGCTCGTACATTCTAGAGCGTGCATTTGTCTCGTGTTAATAGAAAGATCTTGTCAGTTTCCACGAAATTGTTTAAACGCACGACAACGCTGCGCTCAAAAAACAACGCTATCCAGTCATATGAATAATACCACACACTTTTTACAACGAGTCACCATTTACAACAGCAGCACCGGTACTAGTGAAACTTTAAACGCTTACGTTTGATCTGCCGGGGTTTGCTCTGCTTTCTTCGGGACATGCTTATTCCGTCGTTCCTGCTCAGCTTGCGGCAAAAGCGATCAGTCCACCCGGGGTCACTAGCAGTAACAGCAGCACTGGATCACAGCTCTCTGTCCCTCCGAAGACACCCGCATGACCTGTACTTTGATATTCAGAGCCGAAAGAGCTAACGTTACCTGTGGCCGAGTGAGGCTTAGTTACTTTTCGACGTCTTCCCAGAGGAGCGATCTATCCTCTCCGTTAGCCACAATAAACTCTGCCGGTGTTAGCCCTGACAGCGCATATGCTGCTGGAGAAAACTAAACCTTTAGCTTTTAATGAGTTTTTTATGTCTACTCCGGTGAAGCAGAGAGCGCAGTTCTCAACAGGACTCGATCGACACATGAAACAGTGGCGCTGAATCTGATATGTTATGACACGCCTCCGTCACGCCCCTTGCGTATGATGCCATGCCGCACGCCGCTCACTACGCTCGCGCTCCTAGCAAGCTCTCGATGCCCCTAACATCACACTTCCATCAGTGCAAGGCATGCAATGTGTGCCTCGTTTGCATGAAAAAAAAAAATTCTTAAGGATGAGCGTATGCGGAAAAACTTGATGGGCTGTTCAAAAAATAATGTGGTTATTTACCACTATTCGTTTTAAAATCAGTATTATAATTTTGTATTGCATAAATAATATATAAACGATTATATATACATAGTAATAATACTTTATTATAATATATTTTATAATACTACTTATTATTATAAATAATAATTATTATAAAATACATTCTAATCAATTCAATAATATTTTTGAATTATTTATTGAATTATTATTTAATTAAGATAGATTGATAGATAGATAGGTAGATAATAATTATTATAAAATATTCTAATATTACTCTATTAAAGTATTTATAATAATAATTGTATTATTATGAATAATTATCATACAAATAATTAATTTAAAATATTTAAAAAATACAACAAAATATAAATTATAATTATATATAAATAATAAAAACAACACAATTCTATATAATATTAATAATACATTTAATTTGTATTTTTATTATCATTATTATTATTTTGTTATTTGTTGTACTTTTTATGTAAAAAATTATTTATATAATAAATATTTTGTGGTCACTGTTCTGTGGTAATTGTTGTTCTCTCTTTTGCTGCTGCAACATTGCAGTTCATCTCACACAGGATTCAGTAAATATTATTCTATTGTGTTTGTCTTTTTTAAACGGGGTGTGACCAATATCTCCAAGTAAATATTGGGTGGTGATTACTGAAATACACAAGTAGTAGGCTACACTTACAGCTGTCAATCATGGTATGATTACCAAAAAAGGGGAGAATGCTATTACCGTTTTCTTTGCACAGATGCAGGCACTGTGACCTCCTCAAAAGCTCACTGCTTCCATCTAGTGACCAACGAAAACCTTATCTCATGCCTCACTGTAGAGGCCAGCATGATTGTAATGAGCTGACTTAGTAGACACATTCCTCTCAGGCCACAACATTTAAATATGAGTCAAATACATCAACCTTGTCATATGTTAACAACCTGGAACTTCTAAGGCAACCACAAATAATAGCAAAGAAAAAAATAATAAAACACTATATATTTTTTGTGTTGTGTCATGATTTATTAAGATTTGTTTGAAGGTTCAGAGCAAACTATTTGGGTGGACTATATTATTTACAAGATAAATGTTTGGCCTTGTTAATCTTGATGTTGGAGGAACATTGTTCATGTATTTCATGATTAAACATGATGAAATCAACATTTTAAATAAAAAGGATTATGCACCCATAATGACTATAAAATACATAATACAATAAACTAAAGCACTGAATATATCTATATTTTGAACACCAAATTTTAAATGCATTTATTACAAACCTGTTTACAATGTGGAGCGCACTCTGCCTTTATAGAAGTTTATGCAGTGTTTTTAAAAAAGGTTAGTAATAAAACTGTCTTTTGAATGCTGGGCATAATCCAATTCATCCTTACCCTAAATTATATTTATTAGGTGTGTAAAATATATTTAAAAAATTAAGAAATTTTAAAAAAAGGCCTATAATGCAGACATTATTTTCAAAATAAATATTACTAAATAAAACAAACTAAATTATGTAAAAAAAATGATCGTTATTTGTTTGTATTTTATAGCGAAATATACTAGAAAAAACATACAAAATAATTTCAGATCGCTTCATTATAAAGTAAGACTGTAGAGGCCAGCATGATTGTAATGAGCTGACTTAGTAGACACATTCCTCTCAGGCCACAACATTTAAATATGAGTCAAATACATCAACCTTGTCATATGTTAACAACCTGGAACTTCTAAGGCAACCACAAATAATAGCAAAGAAAAAATTATAAAACAATATCTATTTTTGTGTTGTGTCATGATTTATTAAGATTTGTTTGAAGGTTCAGAGCAAACTATTTGGGTGGACTATATTATTTACAAGATAAATGTTTGGCCTTGTTAATCTTGATGTTGGAGGAACATTGTTCATGTATTTCATGATTAAACATGATGAAATCAACATTTTAAATAAAAAGGATTATGCACCCATAATGACTATAAAATACATAATACAATAAACTAAAGCACTGAATATATCTATATTTTGAACACCAAATTTTAAATGCATTTATTACAAACCTGTTTACAATGTGGAGCGCACTCTGCCTTTATAGAAGTTTATGCAGTGTTTTTAAAAAAGGTTAGTAATAAAACTGTCTTTTGAATGCTGGGCATAATCCAATTCATCCTTACCCTAAATTATATTTATTAGGTGTGTAAAATATATTTAAAAAATTAAGAAATTTAAAAAAAAGGCCTATAATGCAGACATTATTTTCAAAATAAATATTACTAAATAAAACTAACTAAATTATGTAAAAAAAAAGGCATGTAGAATAACAAAATAAAGGCAATTAAAATAAAAAATAAAAAATAAATAATTTTACCAAATAAGCAGTGTATAGATTAGAAAAAAACCCAAGTTATAAATGACTATTTTGATGTTTGAGTTTATGGTTTATGTACAGTATGATAAGGTACTTAATCTAGAAAGTGTAATGTAAAAAAAAAAAACTGATCTAAACTAAAGTTAAAGGTATTTTTATTCAATGGAAATCATGAGGAATTTCAAAGACAAAAGCAGCAGCCACATTTTACCTTCTTTGTTATTTTGCAGTCATTTCTCAGTACCTCCCCTAATTCTAGACCAATGCCTCTCGTGCTTGAACTTGCAATCTTTGTGAGAGCAGATCAAATCATGGGTTGAGGGTGAGAACCGTTATGTCACCACAGCTAGTCAAACAAACGCTTATTTAAAAAAAAAAACGAAATCAACTAAGTGAGTGTCCTGTACAGGGACAGTACAGGGATTCCACTTTGTACACATGAAACAGCTGCTCTGTTTTTTAAGGGGGTAAAGTGGCATCAGGTTAAAGGCCAGTGTTTTGTAATTGAGCCTGTGTGAGTGATTGATTTTGTGAGCTCTTCATTACATGAGAGGCTTGAGTCTGTATCAGTCTTTAACGAAAGAACAACTATGATAAAAGACGTTTTGCTCTGCCTGTGCTTGACCCTGGCACCTGTTTGGACAGCCCCTGTACAGACAGACAAGTATTATATTGCTTTTTAAATAATATTGAACATTATACAGTGAAATAATATTTTACTTAATTATCTATTTTACTAATTTTTGAAGGAGTACTGTTATTTGACAGGAACATAAAATAATAATATATATCAAAGAATGGGTGTTAATGTCAGATTGGTTTGTATTTGTACAGACTCTGGGCCGGTGGTTGTTCTGAAGCATGGCAGTGTCCGTGGGCAATATATGAAAGTTAAAGGCTCAGAAAAGGTGGTGGAGCAGTATTTGGGTGTTCCTTTTGCCCAGCCACCTGTTGGCCCCCTCCGCCTGGCTGCACCTGGTCCTGTACAGGGATGGGAGGGCATAAGAAATGCCACCCAGCACCCATCTATGTGAGTATATGGCTATATTCATAAAAGTAACTGTAATTTGTGCCATATCCCTTTACTAAATAAATTCCTTATTTCCTACTGTATTATATATTTACTCCACCTGTACAAATACAAACAGAAATACATATTATAAATTAATATTATTTATATTTTATCAATTAACAAAATTCCTTCAAAAATTTGTAAAATTAAGTAAAATATTATCTCACTGTATAATGTTCAATATTATTTAAAAAGCAATATAATACTTGCCTGTCTGTACAGGGGCTGTCCAAACAGGTGCCAGGGTCAAGCATAGGCAGAGCAAAACGTCTTTTATCATAGTTGTTCTTTCGTTAAAGACTGATACAGACTCAAGCCTCTCATGTAATGAAGAGCTCACAAAATCAATCACTCACACAGGCTCAATTACAAAACACTGGCCTTTAACCTGATCCTATACTTTACCCCCTTAAAAAACAGAGCAGCTGTTTCATGTGTACAAAGTGGAATCCCTGTACGGCAGAATGAGGGGAGATAAATCCATTCTGTGATCAAATTCTAAACTAATTATGATTATTTATATATCGGTAATATCAAAAGGTCGTGGGTTCGATTCCCAGGGAACACACATACTGGTAAAAAATGTATAGCCTGAATGCACAGTAAGTCGCTTTGGATAAAAGCGTCTGTTAAAAATTATGTTAATTATTATTATTTTAGTTTAGAATTTGATCTCTGTATCTCTGTGGTCTGTACTGACATGTTTTAAAATCTTACATTTATTGATGACCAAACATATCAAATAAAACAAATTATCAAAGAAAAGTCATACATTTTTTATTCTCAGCTATTCTCTCATATGGATCATTTAAATTGCCACCACAGTAAATTCTTCTGTCAAAGCAGTTCATGCTGTACCCAGTGATAAAGTGTGTGCTAATGCAGATGGTGAAAGCGTGTCACAGAGGCTCAGATTCTTCACAGGTAGGTTAATAATTCATGCCTTATGTCGGTTTTATTGAACAAAGCTACCAGGAAAGCTTGAAGGCTACAAAGCAGAGAAGTTAAAACTTGTATCCAATGACACTCACTTAGTAGTTGATTTCGTTTTTTTTTTATAAGCGTTTGTTTGACTAGCTGTGGTGACATAACGGTTATCAACCCTCAACCCAAGATCATATTAATGTGTTTTTGGGGCAACATAGAATGAACAAATAAGTGCAGTAATGGGAGTAATAATTAGCAATATTTTCATAATAATATCTAATATTTAATAGGAATATTGATATATAATTTTTTCTCTATTCATTTGTTGTGTCTCTCAAAATGTGTTATAAACATGCTTTAAGTCCTGGTGTCCTCTACAGTGAGTGGACATGTATGAAATTCATGTCCTGTTTCATAACAGAAGGTCATATTTTGATTTGAAACTCCATAACATTTTGCTAAGATGTTGATTTATGACAAACAATTTGTCAATTAGTCAGATTGAGATTTCCATTAGGGTGTTACATTTGATCACTAAATGAATGTTTTCATGAATTTTTAAAGACCAAGGAGAGGGAGTGGTCATGGTGAAACATCCAATCATTTGGTATCTCTGAAAAGCCCTGAATGTGCTCTGTACAGGACATCCAGATTTAAAACTGTGACATGTAACGTCTCAGAGAAATCACTAAAACATAATGTCCTCTACAGTGGACAAAACTCCATAGCTGGTAGTCAGGAGGATATATATATATATATATACACACCATAAAAACAGACCTGTGAAATTTATGGTAAAAAATTTTTATATATACAGTATATAAAAAAAATACGGGACAGCAACATTTTTGGTTATATGGGACTGCACTGAACTGTATTTTTCTTTAACTAATATAATGTTAATATTACATCTAAAGAAATAAAATCTGTTTTGTACTTATATAATTTACCGATAAACCACCATACTAATACAGGTTGTAAAAGAGACAAAATGAGACACAAGCTGAGGTATATACTAATATACAGTACACTGTCATGCACACAAATACAGGGTAACATGGAACTGTACACGGTAAAACAAGTGACATAAAATAATGCAATAACATTAATTAAAAAACATAACTTGCCAAAATGTACACAAACTGATAACAAAAATGAGATACCAAGTGCCAAATGGGTCAAAAGTGCCATTAGCAGATTTACAGTATTTTACCATTCAAATGACAAACATTATTACAGTGTACATTCTCTTGCTGCATTCTAGGTGCCTTCAAAACCCAGGTATTCTGCCTATAGTAGCAAAATCCATGAAGTTGGATTTCACACCAACATGAGTCTCAGAGGACTGTCTGTGTCTGAATGTTTACACTCCTTCTCAAAGATCAGAATCAGATAAACTTCCAGTGAGTACTGAATAACGGCTTCTCTCATCTGAACTACAGCACTTTGACTTTTGTAGATCTTATTCACAGTAGATCTTCTTATATTATGCTTTATTAATAATTTCCCCAACCCCTCTGACAAAAGCAATCTACTGTATGCGAACCAACAGGTAATAGTCTGGATTCATGAAGGGGGTCTGGTCGTGAGTGGAGCATGCATGTATGACGGATCCCCGTTAGCGGCCTATGAGAACATAGTTGTGGTTGTCATTCAGTATACCGACTTGGAATATTAGGATACTTCAGGTGTTCAGGAGAAAGTGGCCACTACTCATGCAGTCTGTCCCTTAAGAATGACATCAGATTTGTTGTAGCGTATTGAAGCTGCTTCTGCAATGGGTTATAATAAAACATGCTTCTGGGTTTAGCACAGGAGATAAGAATGCTCAAGGTAACTGGGGTTTCCTAGACCAGATTGCTGCTTTACAGTGGGTGCAGCAAAACATTGAGGGTTTTGGAGGAGACCCCCAGTCTGTCACTATAGCTGGGGAGTCTGCAGGAGGAATCAGTGCCTCTTTTCTGGTCAGTAAATGTTTGTAATTCAGCATTATCTTTATTATCTTTCTCTATTGTTGCCTATTCTTTATTTATGTGCTGATATTAATTGTGATTAATCTTATGATTTCTGATGAGTCTTTAAAAAACATAACAAGTTCAGAGTAAGTTCCTTGTGGTCCCTTCGGGCTTCCCCTGGAAATATGATAATAAGTGAATCGCTGAAAGACAAGTTGTTAAAACAACATAAGATCTTATCCATTAATAGATTCTCTGTGCAATTCAGTGCAAAGGTTAAATGTGCTCTAAAGATGTATTCTTATGGTCTTCTAGTCATTGTCACCCAAGACCAAGGGTCTGTTTCAGCGGGCCGTCTTTAACAGTGGAGTAGCAACTGTGATGGGCTACTCTGTCAAAGAGCCTCTGATGTTTGCCAAGGTATTTAGCTCAAATACAACAATAAATGTGTACTGCTCAATAGTTCCTTAAAGGGATAGTTCAACTCAAAAATGAAAATTCTGTCATTAATTACTCACCCTCACATCACATCATTCCAAACCCGTAAGACCTTTGTTCATCTTCGGAACACAAATTAAGATATTTTGGATGAAATCCAAGAGCTTTCTGACCCTCCGTAGACAGCAACGCAACTGAAATGTTCCCAGACACCAAAACGTAATAAGGACATCGGTAAAATAGTCCACGTGACATCAGTGGTTCAACCGTAATTTTACGAAGCTACGAGAATACTTTTTGTGCGCAAAGAAAACAAAAAATAACAACTTTATTCACGATTCTTCTCCCCCGCGCACCAGCTGCGGCCATTATGGAGAGTACCACGACGAATACGTGTGGTGCTGCTGACGTAGAACACGCATGTGCTGCGCCTTGTTTACGAGCAGAGGAATGCACATGCATTGTGGTACTCTCGTGGTACCGTAAAATTACGGATGAACCACTGATGTCACATGGATTATTTTAACAATGTCCTCATTATGTTTCTGGGTCTGGGAACATTTCAGCTGCATTGCTGTCTATGGAGGGCCAGAAAGCTCTCGGATTTCATCAAAAAGATCTTAATTTGTTTTCCGAAGATGAAAGAAGGTCTTACAGGTTTGGAAAGACATGAGGGCGAGTAATTCATGACAGAATTTTCATTTTCGGGTGAACTATCCCTTTAAGGGAATCTGTAGAATGATGTAGGATGTCAAGAATTTTAGAGCCTTGTTCAAATGATGAACTGTCTTTAACTGGAAAATTAGTGTTTACTATTGTCATTTTGCATTATTGACACACTATTTTCCTAATTAATGCTGTTCAGTTGCTTTGACACAATCTGTATTGTTAAAAGCGCTATATAAATAAAGGTGACTTGACTTGACTTGACAAAAATAAATAAATAAATAAATAAATTTTAAAAAGCTTTACAAAAAGAAAAAAGTGACTCATACTGAAAATACCTCATGTAAGATCATTATTGTAATTGTTTAGAAAAAGCTGACTGTGATCTGGTTGACCAGGAGGTAGCAAATGTTACTGAATGTGACTTCAGCTCTAATGAAGTGCTGACCAAACGAAAAGAACTGACTGAGGAACAAATCATCGATGCAGCTAAAAATGTAAGAGCAAAGAATTTTAAATTAGATGCTTTTCAATAGTTCATGAAAAAAATGAAATGCTAAGATCTATTGGTGATATTCTCTATAAATATACAGCTTGAAAAGAGAACGCACCAAATGACTTCCTTAGAAACACATTTTCCCTGGAGCAACAGTTGATGGGGAATTTCTTAAAGCTCAATCAGTGGAGGTACTAAAGAGCAAAGACTTCCAGAAAGTTCCGATTCTTGTCGGAATAACAAACCATGAATTTGGATGGATCAGGCAAGTATCGGACATTTTTGTATGGAATGGTAAAAGGTCTACGAACCTTTATTACTATTTTTAAATAGTTATGCATGTGCTCTTTTTCAGTCCTTAGCCCCAGAAGACTGGGTAAAAGAGATGGACACAAAAACAAAAAAACAAATTTTGGACATTTTTAACAAAGATGGAGTAAAACGCAACTTCTCTCCTTCTTTCTTTCCAGACTATATGTAGTGATTTAGAAACTAAAACAGAGATAAAATGCAAAACATTTTTTGAACGCAATATGGATAATTTGTTAGTATTTGTCTCCCTCTAGTGAACAAAGTACAAAATAGCATTTAGGAGACTCAGTAGAATGTGTGTAATCCTTCATTCTGTCATCGTAGACGCCAGGAGTCAATGAAATCATAGCAGAAGAATACCTAAAAAATGCTAAAACTCCAGAGGACATTCGTGATGCATTTACTGAGATGCTGGGGGATCTTTTTATGGTGATTCCCTCCATTACGGTTGCATTATACCACAGGGGTTGATTGCAATTTCATTGGCAATATTTCACCTTCAGTGATGTTTTTCTGTTGGTTTGCTTTATTATTTCCATATTTCATGTTATAACTTCACAGATGCTGGAGTGCCTGTGTATATGTATGAATTCCAGCACCTGCCAAGTGTATACCAAGATCTCGGACCCAGCTTTGTGAAAGCTGACCATGGTGATGATACTGGATGATACTATGCAGAACCGTCATGGGATACTGGGCGAACTTTATTCGCACTGAGTAACACCAGTTGCTGGACAGAGCATTAATGATGATCCTATATTCCTTAAATAATTATTTCATTTCCACAGATCACCAAATGGTCCCAGTCTGGTGCACTGGCCTGTGTACGACAAGACTAATAAATACATGAACCTGGGATTGCAGCAAACTGAGGGACAGGATCTAAAGATGGACAAGCTGCTCTTTTTCACTGAAGAATTACCTAAAAAGCTTGCAGCACTCCACAAAGCCTAATTAGTTATTTCACCAACAAACACAATGCTTCTACTATAAATAAAATCTAATTTGCTCATCTGTGTGTAAATAATTATTTTATGTCTCCATGCGGTGAAATTGTTCCCATGAAACCTTTTGCAACTTGATTTACAAGACTTCTGCACACTTTTCTATTTTTCTCAAATCTAGCCAAAATCTGATCGTTATTTGTTTGTATTTTATAGCGAAATATACTAGAAAAAACATACAAAATAATTTCAGATCGCTTCATTATAAAGTAAGACTGTAGAGGCCAGCATGATTGTAATGAGCTGACTTAGTAGACACATTCCTCTCAGTCCACAACATTTGAATATGAGTCAAATACATCAGCCTTGTCATATGTTAACAACCTGGAACTTCTAAGGCAACCACAAATAATAGCAAAGAAAAAATTATAAAACAATATCTATTTTTGTGTTGTGTCATGATTTATTAAGATTTGTTTGAAGGTTCAGAGCAAACTATTTGGGTGGACTATATTATTTACAAGATAAATGTTTGGCCTTGTTAATCTTGATGATGGAGGAACATTGTTCATGTATTTCATGATTAAACATGATGAAATCAACATTTTAAATAAAAAGGATTATGCACTCATAATGACAATAAATGACATAATACGATAAACTAAAGCACTGAATATATCTATATTTTGAACACCGAATTTTAAATGCATTTATTACAAACCTGTTTACAATGTGGAGCGCACTCTGCCTTTATAGAAGTTTATGCAGTGTTTTTAAAAAAAAGTTAGTAATAAAACTGTCTTTTGGATGCTGGGCATAATCCAATTCATCCTTACCCTAAATTATATTTATTAGGTGTGTAAAATATATAACAAAAAAAGGCCTATAACGCAAACATTATTTTAAAAATAAATATTACTAAATAAAACAATTTAAAGAATGTAAAAAAAGGTAGAATAACAAAATAAAGGCAATTAAAATAAACAAATAAAAATAAATAATTTGGCCAAATTACTATTTTGATGTTTGAGTTTATGGTTTATGTACAGTATAAGGTACTTTACATAATCTAAAAAGTGTCATGTATAAAAAAAAACTAATCTAATCTAAAGTTAAAAGGTGTTTTGATTCAATGGAAATCATGAGGAATTTCAAAGACAAAAGCAGCATTATCATTATTATTAGCTGTATCGCGTACCTTGTCAGTGTCGTGCGCTTTGCTTGGCCATTTGTTGTGATAAACAGGAAAGTGTGTCCAGCTGGATTCAATTTGAGTTTTGTTAAACGAATAAAAAAGAAGCTTAGTTTACCGCGGAAGCGGTCGTGTGAAGACCGAAGAGTGTAAAGACCATCGACTCTACCGT